AGAGAAGGAGTGTCTAGAGATATACAGAAGAAAGGTTGATCAGGCAAACAGGCACAGAGCTCAGCTACGGCAAGCTATTGCTGATTCTGAAGCAGAGATTGCAACCATATGTTCTGCAATGGGTGAGAGACCAGTACATTTCAGACAGGTTGGTCTATGTTTGTAAATATCTCGTGATATAATTTCGTTCCAGAAGCAAACATAAGGTTTTGTATGTAATTAGTTTAAATGATATTTAGTGAATAATAACCATGAGGCCTTGTGGATTTCCTCTGCTATTTTGCTCAGCTTGCGAAGAGAACTCTTGAATGTAGTCCTGTTTTGCATTTTTCTAGTATCTTGTTGATTTCTCTATTCTCTGGAAAGGTCTTTGAGACCAAAATTATTGCTTTCTGCTGGGAGATTCATAAATATTACTTTAATTATAACTTTTGAGTAAAAAGAATCTGCCTCAAATAATATTTTCTCAGCTCTTAGTCAAACAATAAAATTTGGGGGCATTTGCATGCAAGCCACACAATTTCTATGTATTTGTTGAAATATAAACTTGGCTTTAGTTGTTTAAATAAAACTTAATTTCTAAAAACATGTTTATCTAGAGGTTTATTCTAGAATATGTGGTAGGTATGAAATTATTGTGTGGTAGGTATGGTAGGTTTGGAATTATTGTGTGACAGATATGAAATTATTTGTAACCATTAGATTGAAATTGTAGTGACACAATTCTAGCCATTAATTTAGGAGATGTCACTAATATAAATAGGGGTAGAGTCTTTGAGTTTGTATCAATCTAAGTAAATGTATTAAATAAAAGTGAATTTTGTTCCATAAATTTTTAGCCTTTGTCATATCCTAAAAGCTTTTTTCATTCCAACAATGTGGTATCAGAGTCTAAATGTTCCTTTATAGAGCAATGACAAACGGTGACATTGTTTCCTTCTAAGTCCCGATGCTTAAGGAAAACATCTACGACAATTGGAGTATCAAGATGAAGACACTCCTTGGAGTGCATGACGTTTGGGAGGTTGTGGGTTGTGGAGAAAGACTACGATGAGCCAAGCGATGAGTTCGCTCTATCCACAACACAAAAGGATAGCTTAAGAGACTTGCGAAAGAGAGACAAAAAGACTCTCTTCCTCTTCTATCAAGCTTTAGATGAAGATGATTTTGAGAAGATCTCAAGTGCTACTTCGGCCAAGCTAGCATGGAAGAAGCTCGAGGTTTCGTATAAGAGAGAAGAGAAAGTTAAAAATGTACGACTTCAAACTTTAAGAAGTCAATTTGATGTTTTACATATAAAAGAAGACGAGTTGGTCTCCGATTACTTTTCTAGAGTTATTATCATTTCCAATCAACTAAAAAGAAATGGTGAGAAATTAGAAGATTGGCTATCATGAAAAAGATTCTTCGATCGTTAGATTTAAAATTTCATAGTATCACAACCATTATCGAAGAGACTAGAGATTTACAAGCCATGACGATAGAGCAACTTCTGGGTTCATTGCAAGCTCTTTGCAAACTTATGAGGAAAAGAAGAAGATGAATGAAGATATTGTCGAACAACTTCTCAAGACGGATCTCCAACCAACTTGAAAAGATCAAAGCTTCAACAATATTAGAAGCCAACATGAAAGAGGTAGTGGACAAGGACAAAGTCATGCTAGCAAGCAAGGATGGAGTACCAACAATACCTATGAGAAAGGAGAAAGATCTATAAGCGGACGTGGTCGAGGGCACTCAAACTCAAGGTATGATAAATCTCAAATTAAGTGCTATAATTGTAACAAGTTCGAACATTATGCTAAAGAATGTAGAACACCTAAAAACAAAGTTAATGAAAGAGTCAACTACATAGAAGAAAAGAGAGAAGAAGATGACACTCTACTTTTAGCATACAAGAAAAATAAAAGAGGTGAAGATAGTACATGGTACCTGGACACCGGTGCAAGCAACCATATGTGTGAGAGACGAAGCATGTTCGTAGAGCTTGACGAATCAGTAAGCGACAATGTGTCTTTTAGAGATGAGTCCAAGATAGAGGTGAAAGACAAATGTAACATTCTCATCCGTCAGAAAAATGTGAAGCATCAATTTATTTCTAATGTTTACTTACATCTTGAGTTTAGGGCAACTTTTGGAGAAAAGCTTTGATATTCACTTAAAAGACAATATTGGTAACTTGTAGGGGTGTAAACGAGCCGAACACGAGCTCTCAGCTCATGTTCGACTCGTTTATATTTCGAGCTCAAAAAGTATATTCGTGTTCGACTTGTTTGCTTAGCGAGCTGAACACGAGCCGTTCACGAACAAAGAGTCATTTTAACAACCCTAATCACATAGTCATAAGGTGTTAAGGATTGGGGCAAGATTTAAAATATCATTTGAATCTAATTTAATAATTTTTATTCTATTTTCTTCATTAATACTTTTAATTAATTATAAATCTTTGTAGCCTTGTAGTCAATTAAATTTTTGAAAAATACTACTCATCAATGATATATATAATTGATTAGTAGTATTTCGAGTCGAACACGAACTAATAAATATTTGTTAGTGTTTGGCTCGTTAACTTAGCGAACGAGCCGAACACGAGCTGTTCGCGAACAACGAGCCATTTTGACAGCCCTAGTAACTTGCTTGCTAAGGTGTCAATGTCTAAGAATAGAATGTTCTCACTCAACATTCAAAATGATATTGCCAAATATATGAAGACCTATAATAAAGATACTTCTTGGCTCTGATATCTTCGATTTAGGCATCTCAATTTTGGAGGACTCGAATTACTTTCAAAGAAAGAGATGATAAGAGGATTACCTTACATCAACCACCCTGATCAATTATGTGAAGGATGTTTACTCGGAAAGCACTTCAAGAAAAGCTTTCCATGGGAGTCAAGTTCAAGAGCCCATTCAAGAGCCCAAAAGCCTCTTGAACCATACATATAAATGTCTGCGGTCTAATAAATCCAAGCTCACTCGGTAAGAGCAACTATTTTATTCTCTTCATAAATGATTTTTCACCAAAAATTTGGGTATATTTCTTAAAAAAAAAATCAGATGTTTTTGGAATATTCAAAAAGTTTAAGGTAGATGTAAAGAAAGAGAGTGGTCTCAAGATAAAAGCTATGCGATCTGATCGAGGAGGAGTATTCACTTCAAAAGAATTTCAAGAATTATATTAAGTCAACGGAATACGTCGACTTCTAACTGTTCTAAGATCCCTCCAACAAAATGGAGTAGCGGAAAGGAAGAATAAAACCATCCTCAACATAACAAGGAGCATGTTAAAAAGCAAGAGATTGCCGAAGGAGTTTTAGGCAGAAGCAGTTGCATTTGCTGTTTACCAACAAGAAGTGTGTTGGAAAAAACACCACAAGAAACATGGAGTGGAAGGAAGCCCGACATCTCTCATCTACCAGTTTTTGGATGCATAACTCATGTACACATACCCGACGAGAAAAGAAGTAAGCTGGATGTCAAGAGCGAGAAGTTCATTTTCATTGGTTACGACAACAACTCAAAATGCTACAAGCTATACAATCCAAATAAAAGGAAGACAACCATCAACAGAGATGTCATATTCGATGAAGAAGGAGAATGAGACATGAGACTACATGATGAGGACTACAACTTTTTCCCATACTTTCAAGAAGAAGACGTAGAGCAGCCAAAAATCGAGCAAGCAAAAGAAAAGCCTACTACTCCACAAACAACATTGACTACAAGTACTCAAAGTGACTCATCGTCATCAACTTCAAGAGAAAATTCAAGTGAAAGAGTACCACACTTCAGAAGATTACAAGATCTTTATGATGTAACTATGAATCAAGATAATCTTACTCTTTTTTGTTTCTTTGCCGACTGTGAAATCATGAATTTCCAAGAAGCCTTACAAAACAAGAAGTGGAAAGATAGAATGAATGAAGAAATCAAGGCAATCGAGAAGAACGACCCATGGGAGCTAGTTTCACTTCCTAAAGGGCATAAGACAATTGATGTGAAAAGAAAAGCCTACTACTCCACAAACAACATTGACTACAAGTACTCAAAGTGACTCATCGTCATCAACTTCAAGAGAAAATTCAAGTGAAAGAGTACCACACTTCAGAAGATTACAAGATCTTTATGATGTAACTATGAATCAAGATAATCTTACTCTTTTTTGTTTCTTTGCCGACTGTGAAATCATGAATTTCCAAGAAGCCTTACAAAACAAGAAGTGGAAAGATAGAATGAATGAAGAAATCAAGGCAATCGAGAAGAACGACTCATGGGAGCTAGTTTCACTTCCTAAAGAGCATAAGACAATTGATGTGAAGTGGGAGTACAAAGCAAAAAAAAATTCCAAAGGAGAAATTGAAAGATACAATGCAAGATTGGTGGCAAAGGCTACAGTCAAAGAGTAGACATCGACTATGATGAGGTATTTGCCCCTATTGCTCGATTAAAAACTATTAGACTAATCATTTCCTTGGCAGCTCAAAAAAAGTGGAGAATACATCAATGGATGTAAAATCAGTTTTCTTGAATGAAAACTTGAAGAAAAAAGTCTACATTCAGCAGCCACCAGGATATGAAGTCAAAGGGCAAGAGGACAATGTCCTAAAGCTAAAAAAAGCTCTTTACGGGCTGAAGCAAGCACCAAGAGCATGTAATAGCCGAATAGACAAGTATCTGCAAGAGAAAGACTTCATGAAGTGTCCTTATGAGTTTGCTCTTTACATCAAGAATGAGCATGAAAATGTCTTGATTTTTTGTTTGTATGTCGATGACTTGATCTTCACCGAAAACAATCCAAACATGTTTGAAAAGTTTAAATAAGCGATGACAAATAAGTTTGAAATGACAGATATTGGGCTCATGACATACTACCTTGGCATTGAAGTCAAACAAATGGAATATGAGATTTTCATATCTCAAGAAGGTTATGCATGGGAGATATTGAAGAAGTTCAAGATGGATAATAGCCGACCTATAAAAATCCTGTAGAATGTGGAGGCAAACTATCAAAATATGATGAGGAAAAATAAATTGATCCAACGGTTTTCAAAAATTTGGTTGGAAGTTTGCGCTACTTGACATGCACAAGGCCTGATATTCTTTATGCTGTTGGATTTGTCAGTTGCTACATGGAGATTCCAACTGCTACCCACCTGAAAACCGCTAAAAGAATTATGCGCTATATCAAAGATACAATTGATTTTGGCTTATTTTACTCATCATCCAACAATTTCAAGCTTGTAAGATATAGTGAAAGTGATTGGGCTGGAGACATGGATGATAGAAAGAGCACTACAGGGTTCGTGTTCTTAATAAGAGACAATGTTTTCACTTGGATGTCAAAGAAACAACTAATTGTCACTCTTTCTACTTGCGAAGTAGAGTGCGTGGCTACAACTTCATGTGTTTGTCATGCAATTTGGCTTCGAAACCTATTAAAGGAGTTAAGTTTACCACAAGAAGACGATCAAGATTTGTATCGATAACAAATCTGTAATAGCGCTAACAAAGAATTCAGTTTTCCACGATAGAAGCAAGCACATTGATATGTGCCATCACTACATCAGAGAATGCATCAAAAGTAAAGATATACAATTGCAGTACGTGAAGTCTCAAGATCAAGTTGCAGATATTTTTACCAAGCCGCTCAAGAGTGAAGACTTTATTAAAATGAGAAGTTTAAAAGGGGGTGTTGAAATATAAACTTGATTTTAGTTATTTAAATAAAACCTAATTTCTAGAAACATGTCTCATCTAGAAACTTATTCTAGAATATGTAGTAGGTATGAAATTATTGTGCGATAGGTGTGGTAGGTGTGGTAGATGTGAAATTATTGTGTGGTAGGTATAAAATTATTTATAACAATTAAATTGAAATTGTAATGACACAATCATAGTCATTAATTTAGGAGGTGTCACTAGTATAAATAGTAGTGAAGTCTTTGAGTTTGTATCAAGTTAAGTAAAGTTGATAAATAAAAGTGAATCTTTTTTCATGAATTTTTAACCTTTTTCATATCCGAAAAGCTTCTCCATTCCAACAGTATTTATATATAAAACACCTAAACTTTATTTTTTACATTTATAACAGCCAAATCTTCATATCATATCAAAAGTACCACTATTTAACTTTTAATAAGTGAAACACATCTTTTCATACATAGATAAGTTGGCATATATGTAAAAATTGAAGTTTAGGTAATTAATGGTTATTTATTTAAATAAATAAGAATTAGTGGTATGCAAGTAAATCTTCCTAAAACTTGTATGATCTTGATATTTCTTACGATGAAAGTGCCGCCAGAATGGCAGAAGCATGAAAGAAGAGCTTAAGGTCATCACTCAGCAATTAGAAGATTTGCGAGAAAGAAGGGATGAAAGATTGAGTCAGTTTCTTGAACTAAGGGAGCAAATACTGCGCGTTTCAACTAAAATTAGTCCTCAACATGGCCTTGAGATAGTTGTGGATGAATCTGATCTCTCCATGAGAGAGCTAGAAGGTCTTCATAGACGGTTAGAAATGCTCCGTAAAGAAAAGGTAACAATTTTTGCATTTCAGACATTAGTAACTAGTTCTTGTTATATTTTTTGTATATTATTTTCCACCATTTTTACACAGAATGATCGCTTAAGGAAGGTGCTCGACCACTTGAACAATCTGAAATCCTTATGTTCAGTGCTGGATATAGATTTCGAGCAGACAACTAGTGCAGTCCATCCTAGTTTAGATGGACCTGATGAATCAAAAAATGTCAGCAGCGATACAATTGAGAGGCTCACACAAACTATTCAGAGACTGCGGGAGGTGAAATTACAGAGAATGCGCAAGGTAATTTATCTTTTTTACAACTTTTATAGTTATTTCTTTTCTTTACTTGCTTAAAGTCAGAAATATGACAGCTTCAAGATCTTGCAACTGCAATGGTGGAGATGTGGTATTTGATGGACACTCCAATTGAAGAGCAGCAGCAGTTCCAGGAGCTTACATGTAATATAGCTGCTTCAGAGCATGAAATAACAGAACCCAACTCCCTTTCATTGAAATTCATCAATCATGTGAGTCCTTAATTGAAAATGCTCATTGTCTAAATTTCATTTCTGTAACTATGCTTGGGCTTTATGAAATGAGTTAAAGAATCCTTTTTTTTTGGCAGGTGGAAGCCGAAGTAGCAAGGCTTGAAAAGCTCAAAGCGAGTAAGATGAAGCACTTGGTTTTGAAAAAGAAGATTGAGTTGGATGAGCTATGCCGACGCACCCATCTTGTCGCAGAAACTGATAGTTTTGCAGAAGCTGGAATCAAGGCTATTGAGAATGGTACACATATTTTAATTTCAACTAAAAAAATATCTACTTTATTCATCAGATATTTGACTTTCTTTCCACTGAGCCCTCCTGTTGCAGAATCTCTTGATCCCTCTCTAGTTCTGGAACAGATCGAGGCTCAAATTTCAATTGTGAAAGAGGAAGCCTTCAGCAGGAAAGAGATTCTTGAGAGAGTCGTTGCTGCGTGTGAGGAAGAGTCCTGGCTGGAAGAGTATAACAGGGTTCTCTGTCTCTTCCACTCAGATCATAGATTTCTTGCTTCTGGACACAACATACTAATTGATTTAGACTTCACCAGGATGAAAATCGTTATAACGCTGGAAGAGGAACTCACCTTATGCTCAAGCGCGCCGAGAAAGCCCGTGTTGCTGTCAGCAAAATTCCAGGTTTACTATTCGAAATAAGGGTGTAATTGAGCCAAGCCCATTCTTGAGCTGGCTTGGGCTCAGTTCGATAAGTGCTTGTCAACTTAGCATGATTAGCTAAGAAGCTAAGCGCAAGCCGGCCTCAACTTGACTCGTTAACTCATGAGCTTGTTGCACTTAAAAATAGAGAAATTTAAAAACCTAGCACGCAATTATTTTGTATTTACTTTTCTTACATATGAAATTTCATATTTCAATAAATAACAATTTTGGTATTTTAACCTTTGAATGAAAATATGTTTTCTTACTTCTAAAAAGTGGTATTAGTACTATTTTTTATGTGATATTAAAAATTGAATGTTGGGGGTGTAACATGAATGCCTAGATGTGACATGTAAATATATTACAATTGTATGCTAAGTGCCCCTAAAAAATAATTAATATAAAACATATATATGCTATGTAAGTGCCCCTAAAAAATAATTAATATAAAACATATTCAAAAGATATTGAAATTTAAGAATTTATCTTTAGATTATAAAATTTGTTAAAGAAATGATAGTTTATATTTAATATCAAGTGATTTTCTATTAAATTTCTCCTGAATGCTTATGAGTTGGCTCAAATTCGTAAAATTAAGCTTGAACTCGAGCTCGATTAATTAATCAAGTTTCAGCTCAAGCTCTAGCCACCAGCTCTATTTGATGGTGGCTCGAGCTTGACTCAACTCATTTACACCTCTATCCATATTCCCAGGATGATTTTAAGTCAATTTCACTTGCCTTTTCTCACCCTTTAATGATTATTTTCTGTTGCATCTTGAGCAGGGATTGTGGAGGCCTTGACAAACAAAATCATGTCATGGGAGAACGAGAGAGGGACTGAATTCATCTATGATGGCGTGAGTACTCTTCTGTCTAAGACTATTCTATTTCTACGCATGATTTCCATATTTTTGTAAGAAGATTTTCTGTTTCTTTAAACTCGGGAGCAAAATCAAAATATTGCAGTCCAGCCTTCTGTCCATGCTGGAAGAATACAACATCCTGAGGCAAGAGAAAGAGCATGAAAGAAAGAGACTGAGGGTAGGATAACTCCTCTATATTCTATCAAATTAGCAGATATCTTGAATAGTCTTCAAAATAAATTGTTCGTTTCAGGATCAGAGAAGGCTTCAAGGTCAGCTTTTGGCCGAGCAAGAAGTCATGTTTGGATCAAAACCAAATCTCTCTAAGTCTCATTCTGCAAAGAAGTTGACTGGAGCTGGAACTGGAACTGGAACTGGAACTGGAGGACCTACTAAAAGGCTATCGATCGGTGGGGCCACATTGCAGTCTCCAAGATTGGATTCGCATCCTTCATTCAAGTCCCCTTCCTCGGCAAAGAAGCAGAATTCTATTTTTGGAGGTTGGGCTAAATACCTATCTATTTGGTCCCCTTATATTTGCTAGATATAGCGTTATTGTTATTGGCATATATAAATTGCTCCAACCTATGGGTAAAAGAAATGACAAAAAAGTAACTAATGGTAAGGAAATGACAATAAAACATAGGGATGATTACATGCATAGCACTTGACACTGTTATTTACAAGCACCCATGTCATTTTTTTAAACTATCGAATAGGTGGATTTATGCGTGTCATGATAAAAATATTGGGTTTGAGTTTATTATGAATTTTGATATTTGGGCAATAAGTTGACAAAAAGATGAAAGAGGGTGTTAGTTTTGTAAATAACGAATCTTGATTATCCTAATATTGCATATTATTGAATACTTTTTGGACGGTAGGTATTGTATCATTCTAGACTCACATAGCCTGGGGAAGACGTGTGAAGGGAGTGGTGGAAGAGGATTGATGCATGCTCTTCAAATTATAGCCTCCGTTTTATGAAAGCATTGGTAGGAGAGAATCCATATGTCCCCTAAATTCACGCGAGTATATAACCCAAGATGGCATACCCCTCCTTCATAGGATTATGAAGAGAAATAAAATTAATCAATATTTGTATCCGATAGCTTAGAGGATATGACCATTAGCACTTTGGCAAGCGAGGTCGACAAACCACTTCGACAAGTAAAACCGACAACTGTCGATGACAATTGACACATTGGTTGGCGAGATCAATAATTCAATCCAACAATCAATAAGTGGTTGTTGGGTCTCGGAAAAGATAGGATTTCTAGGCCCGTAAAACCTACTAACATATATATCAGCCCCAAAAGTCATTTATTGGTATAAATTTAGTTTTTCGATTCTCTTGAGCCTTCGATAAGTTACTAAGAGAAGAATAAGCAAATGAAGATTATGAGTTCCTTTTGACCATTGAAAAAAATTTATGTTTGTCATGCTCAGAGCTCAGCCAGAGCGTGGCGAAGTGCCAAAAATAATTTGATTCAAATTTTGACTTCCTTTCACCTGGGGGCATTTTAGCTACCCTTGCATGGAGTAGTCACTTAAACATACTATTGAATTCGAACTGTCCTTTGCCCTTGAGCACTTTGGATACACATACAATAATGAATAGTCAAATGAACTTTCCAGTTTGTGGAGACTGATTCTCACCTGGAGTCCTAATTAGCTTTCATGTAGAGAGGAGTCGTTTGAACTTATTAATTTTGCCAAATGAGATATCGAGATCTTTTGCGCCTAAATTGAGAGGCCAATTACATCAACCAGTCGAGCAACGACATGTCCGAGAGAAGTGTAATGTGATGGAATACGATTTTTAGGTGATCATAATGCTTCATTTTTCGATGGATAAATAAAGTTCAAGACTCCCCTATGTCCGTAGTGTTGCTAGGTCATACATCTTGTAACTTCTTTTTTTGTCAGAGACTAACCGTAACATGATTTGAAATAAAGTGCACGTATAAGTATCAAGTGCCCGTTGGAGATGTCGTTATGCTGTCAAGGAAAAAATAGCAAGAGTTTTTAAAGATTAATGTATTTTTGGTAATTATTAAGTCTTTTCAATCCTTAACTCCCTGTTGGCTAAAAAAATGTTGCATGAATATGATGAGATATATCACTTCGGTCCCATCTCCGAGGAAGCTTTTCCTCACTTGCTCTTTGTTCGGATCGTTCTTTTTCATCTGTTTTTATTGAAGATATCCCAATGAAGAAATTGAGAATCCCAGAGAAAAAATTAATGGTGGCTTGAAGATATTCTTGAGTTGGACCCAATTCCGAGCGGCACGAAAGTTGTCACTCGAGACATCTCAGTGATGGTGCCTTATCGGGTCCCTCGTCGTCGGGACAAATTACCTTCAATCTGGATGCTACAGTTGTTCACATGTCTGATTTGTTGAGCAAGTGAAACGGGTCTATCCTCGCAGCACTTACAGAGCTTAGTTCTTGCGATAAGGACATGATTTCCTATTTCTGTAGAGGCCAATTAACTTGGCATGTCATGTTTTGATCAATAACTTTTAAATGTTCTTCTTTGCTCCTATACAAATTTGTCTGTATATCAACAACTTAACCTGGAGATGCCCCCAACCGATCCCCATGGGACAGTAGAAGGAGTTCCTGTGGAGCAAACACGGGAAGAAGAGACCTAGATAATCTGGCGATGACCTGCCGTTTTAGCGTGTCTTGATAGATCCTTTTCTTCCTTGTCCAGTATGATCGTTTGCTACTTGTAGAGATCAATGCTCAAGAAGATGCCCCTCATTCTAAGCAAGGCGATGCCGACGATGTATACTGCTCTCGTCGGAACAGGCACATTGCTTGCATCTTCGATGTGTGCATTGCATTGCCTCTGGTTGTTTGTGTCTGAAGCTATGAATTCCTTCAATTTTCCTGTTCGGATCATCTCTTCAATCAGATTCTGAAGGTTTTGGATTCTCCTCCGTGTCATGCCTGTGATATCTGTTGCAAACATAATATTTGTTTGGGCCACGCAAATTTTTTGGAGAAAACTTTATTTTGAATGGCTTCAAAAATCTTAACCAATGATTACTCTAAGTGGGGTGACTTCAGATGGAGGAAACCAAGGTGGTTCCAACCTACTTTCTGGCCTTCTCCCGATCAGTCTTTGGTCTGGAAGTTCTTGCTCCGGTTGGTGAATTCGTCTTCCAAGGCCTTTCAAGAATCCCTAAGGGTGAATTGATCTCATCGCCTACTGCAGCCTCTAGGATGTTTCAAAATCTATTTTCTGGTTCCTTAGTTCTGGATGAACTTGGTAAAGAGTTGTATTCTTCAGCTAAAATATTGTTGTTAGCCAACTCCAAAAGCTCAGCTAGAGTCCTCAATTTCTCTAGACCAAGAACATATCTGAATGGGAACTCACGCAGGCTTGCATGGGCAATGAAGGATTCCAGATCTTTCCTATCAATCATCTCCTGCTGGAATTTGGTGATGAGCCTTTCTGAAGGCTCCCGCTTGATCTTCAAAAGAGCCTGAGAGTACTTATGTGGCTTCTGGGCGCTAAAAAACTATGCTATGAACATTTTGGAATTTGGTGATGAGCCTTTCTGAAGGCTCCCGACTGATCTTCAAAAGAGCCTGAGAGTACTTATGCGGCTTCTGGGCGCTAAAAAACTATGCTATGAACATTCTCTTAAACTCATAGAAAGAGGTGATGAATACTGAAGGTAAGTTGTTAAACCAACTTAGAATTGATTCTTCTAATGTCATAAAGAATAACTATTACTTTAAGGCGTCGTTTACAAGTAGCAGACATATAACTGACTCAAATGAAGCTACATGATTGGTTGAGCCAGTTTTCCTTTCATAAGAATCCAGAGATGGAATCTTAAATTTCTGTGGCACTTCAGCCTCCACCATTTCTCTTGAAAAAGCATTTTCTAACAGCGTCCGCTTTTCTTCTTGTGCCTCCATTTATCTACTTCTTCAACTGAAGAGTCAGGAAGTTCTTCTCCGGGAACGTACAACTCATCATCTTTTTCCTCTTCTTCCTCCAGCGTTGAGGAGAGAGCTCTTCTCAGCCTAGTCATTGGTAGACGATCCTACGTGCATTCGAACATGGGTTTTGGAGTGAGACTTGGAGGTTTCTTGTCTTGCTTTGTGTATCTCCGTTTTCATCTTCTCTTTTAACTCATTAATCTGCTAAATTAATAACTCTGGTGAGTTCATTGTTTTTTTTCGTTCTCTTTCGTACTTCAAATATGAACACTCACATCAAACCTTTTAGAATGTTGAAGTTTTTTAGGATGTTGGGTCTCATATTGTTCATGGGATCACACATCCTAGGAATGACATGTGAGAGGAGAGGTGGAAGATGATGGATGCATGCTCTCCAGGCTATAGCTTTTGGTTTACAAAAGAGATGGAATGAGAGGATCCGAATCTCCTCTGAAGGCGAGGGAGTGCCTTCATATATAAACTCTAAATAGCTCCCTCCATGTTCATAGGATTACAAAGAGAATGAATATCAAACATTTTTTTACTGTACTAAGTTTTTCCACAAAGAAGTTGTGATGTGGGTGTTAGATGGCTCATAAATGGATATGAATGTATCTTCGTTCTTTAACTATGCTTCAAACTTCGACTGTTGGTTGATCCTAAGGATTAGTCGTTGGCCAAACTTAGTGGAGTGATTGGGTAGCTCAATCCTGCAGCTTGGAGGATATTACCATTAGCACTTTAGTTGACAAGGTCAGCAAACCACCTTGTAGGTCAATCAACAACTAATATATGACAACACTTTGACAGGTGAGATTAACACGTCAATCTAGCAATCGACGCGTGACATCTGAGTTCCGGAAAAGATAGTTTTTCTTGACGCGCAAGGCCTACTAACATATTTATCGACCAAAAAGCCATATAAATAAATAAATATATATATATATATAGAGAGAGAGAAAAAGCTAAAGTTTCAAAATGGTCACTTAACTGCTTAAATGATTACATTTTAGTCCCTGATTTTATAAAAGTGTCATATGTGTCGCTAAACCTTTTAAATAAAGGTTAAAATAGTACTACACTTAAAAGGCTCTATGAACTAAATTGACATTTTATAAAATTTAGGACTAAAATAGCCCATTATAAAAAACCAAGAGACGATTTTAAGACTTATCTATATATTTTAAGTGATAGTGAACACTGCTCATACAGATAACACTCCTATCAAGATAACATTGAATCAAGCAACTTCTTAATTAGAATTTGCTTAATACCTTCAAACATTAGTAAAATCTTGAAAACAACACACACACACACACACACACACACACACATTTTTTATTATACTTGAAAATATATTAATAATTTTAAAGCGGACTTGTTTTCAGGCATGGGAGACCCAGAATTTCAATCTTCTGTACCTGATGCGCCTGAGACCCCGCGGAAGCCCTTTACGCCCATAAGTCTGGGACACACCATTCCGTCAACAACCCCACGTATAAAGACAATGAAAGCCGAAGAGGAAAACAAGATTTCTATGGTTTGTTCGCCAGTCTCTGCTCTCAAATCTCCCAGTGCGGCGTCTACACCTAAACAGAAGACCACGAAGCTTAACCCACCTGAGTTTCCCCAAGAGGCTGCAGCAGCAGCTAAAATAGAGCTACAGGACACCGAGATATCTTTTGAAGAACGCAGGCTGGCATTGCTTCTGAAAGGTTAGGATTGGGTAAGCCAAGAGTAGATATTTCTTCACAATATTCTCGCCATTTTATAGTTCGACTGCTAGATTTCTTTCTTTCTTTTCTTGTTTTTTTGAGTTATACAGGCAACGAAAATGATGATTACATTTCATGTTGTTAGAGAATTTATGGAGAATAGAGAAGAAATGTGCAGAGATCTGGTATACGCAGAGTTAAAGGTACAACGAAATCCTGTTTATGCTGTGCGCGCATGGCAAGGTTTGATGCGCAACAGAGAATGATTCATTTATAATACTAATTAATAGATGGAATAACTATTTTATATATATATATATATATATATATATATGTAGTATATATATATATGTATATATATGTATATATATATATATGTATATATATAGGAATGCGCCCAGGTTTAGGTTTAGGGACTATTTGGTAATGAATTTAGTAAATTCTGTAAATCCGAATTTTTTAAATCTAATTTACTAAATTCTGCCAATGCGGTAAATTTGGGATTTATGATAAAACTGAGAATGAACTGGGAAGAAACTAAATTTATTCAAGATTTAAAAATTGCCTTTTTTTTTCTGTCTGATAAGATTTAAGTTATATTCAATTTAAATATATTATCAGATAACCCCTTAGATAGATGGCTTCTGAGCCATCTTAATAAGCCAAATTTCAGCTAATTCCAACTCGATTATCGGCGCGTTCAAAGTTGTTAAAGTGCAATGCATTTATAAATAAGGAAATTTACATATGCTGCACACAATTCTTTCTATTTACATACATTGAACTTTGGTGTTACAAACATATGCATTAAAAGGTATATTTCACTTCTAAAAATTAATAATACAGTTTCATGCATGCTAGAAGATTTGTGTGTTGGTAGAGTAATAAATTAGCGTCCCAACGTAGTACGAGATCTTACACAAATATATAAAAGAATAGTACTCGCATGAAACACCATAATTAAAAAAAATCTTGGAAAAGAAAAACAACCACAGGGTCTGATCCAGTCGAAGTAATCCACTAAGGAATTGTAAGTACATAGACCCACTATCCTCTTAGATTGGAGAAGATTGAATTACAATGTTGAATTGCAGTGGTAATCCAACAATAATAGTTGTAACTAGTGGTGAATGTCGTAGTCAATTTTTATAGATATTGTTGTTCATTGTGAATGTTGTAGACATTGGTTGTAGCGCCAGCTTATCGTAGATGTCATATTTAAAATTTGTGATAGTAGGTGGTAGCTTCAAGGCTGTTGGTTGGGCAAAGCAACCGTAATAGGGACCTCCGATAGTGTTCGTAGGCCGCACAAACCAGAGTTAGAAACTGCATGAGCTGTAAGCAACATATGATGTAGTTTTTCATATTAGCAGAAGCAGGGAACTGTACTAATATTCGTAGGCCGCAAAAACTGGAGTCGGTAGCTGCATGAGCTATAAGCCAGGTAGATTGTAGTTGGTCACCTAGGTTGTAGTTTGTCACATAGCCCTGAGATAGGAGTTACATGAGTTGTGGACCTTGTAGGCCATAATTGGTCAAATAGGTTGTAGTAATGTTTGTAGGTCGCATAAGCTGCAGTTGCGGGTTGCATGAGTTGTGGATCAAGTAGGTCGTAGTTGGTCACATAAGTAATAACAGAGAGATGCAGTAATGCCAGTAGGCCGCATAGGCCATAATTGAGAGATGTACGTGTCGTGGGCCAAGTAGGCCGTAGTTGGTCACATAAGCCATAACAGGAAGCTTTATCAATTTTGGTAGGCCGCAGAGACCAGAGTAAGAAACTGCACGAGCTGTGGACCACATAGGTCGTAGTTGGTCACATAGACCATAGTGGTGTACTTTGATAATGTTTGTTTGTTGCAGAAGCTAGAGTATTGTACCACGTAGGCCGTAGCAGGAAGTTATAGTAATGTCCGTAGGTCACATAGATCGAAGTTAGGAGCTGCATAAGTTATGAACCATGTAGGTCGTAGTTGGTCACATTGGTTGTGGCGGTGAGTTGAATTAGCTTCAGTTGGCCTCCAAGGCCATATTAAGGGCTTGTGGTTGCAGTGAATGACATAAACCATAGGTTGTAATGGAGACCTATGAGCGGATAACTTGGAGTTTGGAAAACGTCACCATATTTTGAGAACGACTGTTGTACGTAGTTATTGCAGTGGAGTTACACCGTACAGTCGGCACTATTTTTGGTGTGGGGTTTGCCCGTAAGAAGCTGTCGGTCATCGGAATTGAAATCCCATTGCCCGCTTCGGAAGGACGTTTTTTT